CCTTGCAGCTCTCAACAAGTTCCTTCCCTCTGCTTCCTCCCCCAGACCACGTTCTGTCATCCACTTGCTTAAGCCGTCCAGGTAGATCACACGTTGTTTTCCTTTGTCTCTCTTTTCCTTTATTCGACCCGTGAGTATCAGATTCTCCAGGCCCTCCTTCCTCATTATGTGTCCCAGAAACTTCAGCTGCCTCTTCCTGATGTTAAGTATAAGCCTCCTCCTTGTTTGCATCCTCTCTAAGACCTCATCGTTGCTCACACGCTCGGTCCATGATATCCTTAGCATCCTTCTGTAGAACCACATCTCCGTCACCTCGAGTCTCTTCTTCATCTTTGAGGAAATCGTCCAACATTCGCTGCCGTAAAGAAGGACAGATGTCACGTAACAGCTCAGTATTCTTTTCTTTGTTACCAAAGAAATCCTCCTGTCTCGCAATACTCTGCCCAGCTTTTGAAATGTGTCCTTGGCCATCCCAATACGTCTACGGATCTCAGTGTCGCACTTACCGTCCTCTGTCAAGACGCTTCCCAGATATTTAAACTTCCGCGTCTGCTTGATTCTAGTGTTCCCGACCTGCAAATCGCATTTCAGGCTCATCCTTTTACTGATGACCATGCATTCTGTCTTCTTGTAGTTTATGCTTAGTCCTTTCTTCTCACTCTGTCGATACCTTCTGTAGGAGATTTTGTAATTTTTTTCCGTGTCTGCTATCAGTACTGTGTCATCTGCGTATATTTTGTTTATTTAATATACTTTTTTTTGAATTTTTGAACAGTTTTCTTTCAAGACATATTTTTTTTTTGCATTTCTTTTTTTTTTTTGATTTGATTTTCATAAATTAATTTTTATTGATGCAATTTTTTAAATTTTGTATTATAGGTTCTTGATTAATTCTAATAATATTTAAATATTAATTCTATAAATTTAATAATATTAAAATAAAAAAAATTATAATCTTAAAAGTAAAAAAAAAAAAAAAAAAAAAAAATTTAGACATTAAAATCTTTTTAAAAATTTAAAAAAAAAAAAATTTGAATTTAATATTAATTTTCTTTATTAATTTTTTAAAACTAAAATCTTTATGGAAATGATTTTGCATTTTTTTAACTGCAACCATTATTATTATAAAAAATTGAAAAAAAAAAATTTTTAAATAAATATAGAAATTATATTATTTATTCTTTAATTGATATTATTATTATAATATAAAGAAATAATTTGAAAATTTAAATTTGAAAAATTTTTTTTTTTTAAAAAAAAAATTCTTAAAATGAAAAATTTGCCATTTCAAAACATTTTGTAAATTTGGGAAAAAAATATGTGTTTTCAATTAAAATTTTAATTTAATAACTTTTTAAATTTTTTTGATTTTAACAATTTTTTAAAAACACATTGATTTAAAAATTTCCTTTTTAACATTCTAAATTTTTTAATATTAAAAAATATTTATAGTGAAAAAAATTGTTTTTTTAATTTTTTTGGAAAATAAAATGATTATGTATTTAAATATTAAAAATTCTTTTTCGTTTAAATTTTTTGAAAAGTGTTTTATTAATAAATTCATGAATTTTTTTAATGATTTAAAAAAAGTTTAAAAATATTATTTTTTTTAAAATGCATTTGTCATTTAAACATTTAAAAAAATGAATTTTTGAAAATTTTCATTAAAAAAAAAAAAATCAGTTTTAAATAAAAAAAAATAAAAACAAAAAAAAAAAAAATTAAAAATACAAATGAAAATTAAAAAATTTTTTTAAAAAATATTGAGAATCCATGAATTCTTTCAAACAATTTTTTTTCATGTAAGAAAAAAAAATATAATTGCAAACATAAAAAAAATTAATGAGTTATATTTTTTTAAAAAAATTATTTTGTTTTATTTATCTATCATTAAAATGATAAAAAAAAAAATCGTTTTTGTTTGAAATAATAAAATTTTTAAAATAATCTTTCAATTAATAATTAATAAAATTTTAAGCGGCTTTTTTATATATAAAAAATGTAATAATTTACAATGTAGAAAAAGATATTTTAAAATTAAAAATGATGTAATATTAATTATTTAAAAAAAAAACTTTCATTTTTAAACATGTTTTATTGAGTTTATATTTAAGCTGCATATTCAAATTTTTACTATAGTTAAAAATGAATAAAAGAATATATAAAAAATTTAAACAGAAATATAGATTTTTTTCATCAATTTTATTTTTTTTAAAATTCTTAAATTTTTAATCCCTAAAATTTATTTAGTTTTTTTTTGAAAATTTATCTTTATTTTTTTCATGTTTTTTTCATCTTACTGTTTGTTTTTGTTTTTAGACTATTTGTTTCATTTCAATCATTTCTTCTTTTTTTTAATTTCAAAATAAATTTTATTTTTAAAGAAGTAAAAAAAAAATTTGAAAATTTTTCAAATATTTTTTTAAACATCAATTAATATTTTTTTGCCATAAAATTAAATATATCTGAAAAAAATTTTTTTAAAAAAAGATAAAAAAAAGTTGAATAAATTATCATTTTTTAAAAAAATATCTAAAGAAATTTTCATAAAAAAATTAATTAAATTTATATCTTTGAAATATTTTATTTATCAACAAAAATAAACTATATTTTTTGATATAAAAAAATATTTGAATTTTAATTGTTAAATTTGCATTTATTTTTATTTATGAAAATTGATATATATATAGTTTTGATTTTTATATATATATATAATATATATATATCAATATTTAATTTATAGATGTGTTCTTTGAAAAAAAAATTTTTTTTTTATTCTTTATATTTTAGTTTTTTTTATTTAAAAATATTAATATTTTTTATAAATAAAAATATTAATTAAAATTTTAAAAAAAATTTTTTAATTTTTCTTTTAAAAATTTCCCTAAAATGAATTTTAAATTTACCTTCTTTTATACGCGAATAAATATTGATTTTAAAATATTTTGTATATATATATATATTATATATATATATATATATATATATATATTATAATTCAATTGAAATTAAACAAAAATTTAAATACTAAATAATATAACCTAAATTTATGATTTTTAAAAAAGAATATATAAGTATATTTATAAATTAAAATAAATAAATTGATTGTTTTTTGAAATACAAAAATTTAAACATTTACAAAAAATCCTCTATTGATTTTATTTTTTATTATATTATTGATATATATATATATATATATATATATATATATATATATTTAAATCAAATTAGAAAAGAATTTGATAAAAAACGATTTTTTTTTTAAATAAAAATAAAAAAAAATTTAATAAAACTATAGAATCTTCCAATTTGATATTAATTATAAGAATAGATAAATAGATATTTAGATATGATTGTCTTTAAATTATTAAAATTTTCTTTTTATGAAGATTAAAATTCAAATTTCCTGAAATGTCAAATTTTTAGAAAAAAAAAGAATAGACAGTCAGATAGATAAATAATAAATTTAAATCTTTTCATGATTATAGATTTGATAGATAGATATTAAATAGAACAGAATAGATAGTGGTTTTTTTTTAAGAATAGACCCTTAGATATAGATAGAAATAGATAGATATTTAGATAACATGATAGATATTATTTATAGATAAGAATAGAAAAAATAGATAAATATTTTGTAGATAAAATAAGATATAATGATTACATATATATATATATATATATATATTTCTTTAGACCGAGATAAATAGATAGATTTTTG